CCGCACCTCGAGTTTTTACAAAGTGTATGGCACCAGTATGTGCACACTTACGGACACGAGGAGTGCAAATATACCCATACTTAGACGACTGGCTAATTGTTTCCCAAACTAAACAAAGTCTTCTGCCTGCAATTCACGTGACCTGCATCTTGCTCGATGATCTTGGACTATGTATTAACCACGAAAAATCATCCCTTATTCCCATGCAGGTCATCGACTTTATCGGGGCACGTCTCGACTCCCTACGGGAAAGAGCTTTCCTCCCTCTGGACCATCGAGCTACCTTATGTGCCCACATCCATCGAATCCGAATGCTTGGAACGGTTCTGGCTATATCCATTCAGAGACTATTGGGGCACATGGCTGCTGCAGTTGCCATTGTCCCGTATGCCAGACTACGTATGCGGGCCATACAGCTGTTTTTCAACACTTCGTTTCGCCCACAGTGAGATTCTCCCAACAAACTGATCCACATTCCATATGTGATACTTGACACTCTAGCTTGGTGGACCATTCCGAACAATCTGTCTGTCAGTGTCCCATTTCGAACACCTCATCCAACGAAGACCCTGTATACAGACGCATCGCTACTTGGATGGGGCGCAACATGTTCGGATCTTCGGGTCCAGGGGACTTGAAACCGACGGGAAGCAAGGAAGCACATCAACTTCCTCGAACATCAGGCGATCTTCAACGCCCTCAAGGCTTTCGAGACTGTCCTATGCCGACAAGTTGTCCAGATTGCGTCAGACAACATACCGGCTGTCTTCTACATCAACAAACAGGGCGGCACAAAATCGCCACCTTTAGCACGTCTCTCGATGGCCATTTGGGACTGGTGCATACCGAGGGACTTTATGCTTCTAGCAGTCCACCTTGCAGGGACCAACAACACCGAAGCAGACATGTTGAGCAGACATATGTCAACAACGCACGAATGGGAGATGGACAGACAAATATGCCAGGACTTCTTGCATCTGTGGGGCTATCCGCACTTGGACTTGTTCGCCACTTGCGACAACAGAGTGTGTGCCCTGTACTGTTCCAGGGCGGGCATAGGATCGGGATCAATGGGGGATGCCCTTATGATCCCCTGGGACAACATAGCCTTTTATGCATTTCCTCCAATCCCACTTCTAACGAAAGTGGTAGCGAAAATATCTCAAGAGAATGCCACGGGAATAATAATAACTCCATGGTGGCCGAGACAACCGTGGTTCGCCACCCTTCTACGTCTATCCAAAGGAACATTTTGTCGCCTCCCGTCTATTCCTCAGCTATTAACGCAGCAAAACGGAGCGGTCCGACATCCAGCTCTGAATGCCTTGAGGTTGACGGCATGGCGGATCACTTGAGTCATTCCGCTGCGTCGGTACCAATGACATCCCAACCTCTAGCGGACTGTATTCACTGCACTGTACCGACGGCCCCTACGTCAGTTTTGACGGCAACCGCTTCGCTACCGATGACTGTTGACCAAGAAATTCAGGCGATTCTTACATCTGCTTTAAGATCGTTCACTCGTCGCTCTTATGCGGCTAAATGGAAGAGATTCCCTTCCTTTGCAGAACGCCATTCTTTTTCTCCTGGAATGGCCTCAATTGACAATATTTTGCAATTTCTCCTGGAACTCTATCACTTGGGGCTGAAACCGTCATCCATTAAAGTTTATGTAGCAGCCATTTCACACTATCGTGGTACGGTTCAAGGGGTATCAGTTTTCTCTCAACCTCTGCTTTGACGTTTTCTTCGGGGGTTACAGAACTTACACCCTTCTATTCACCCAGCTATGCCAACGTGGAGCCTTTCGGTCGTACTCCAAGCACTTACCAAACCTCTGTTCGAGCCACTGGCGACTGTCGACCTACGCCTGGCGTCCTGGAAAACAGCTTTCCTCATAGCGGTGACATCAGCTGGGAGAGCGAGCGAACTTTCTTCTCTCCGCATAGACCCTCCATATCTTAATTTCCATAAGCAAAAGGTCGTTCTTCGTATGGACTCTTCGTTTCTTCCTAAAGTGGCTATGCCATTCCACTTGAGTCAAGATACTGTTCTGCCAGCATTCTGTCCAGCGCTGTCGAATCCAGTAGAGCAGGCTCTACACACCCTTGATGTTTGCCGCTGCTTGGCTTTCTCTCGCTCCCGTACGGAATCCTTCCGTTGCACGAACAGACTCTTTGTTAAGTACTCCAAACATGACAAAGGAGTGCCAGTCACACCTCAACGGCTGTCGCACTGGATCACCCAGACTATTGTCTTGGCCTATCAACTATCAAAAATAGACTTCCCTGTTACCCCGAGGGGTCACTCTACACGAGCTGCTACGACTTTGTCCGCCTTTGCCGCAGCGGTCCTGCTTCAAGATATCTGTAAAGCTGCAGTGTGGGCAGGGCCATGCACTTTCGCCAAGCACTATCGGCTTGATGTGCACACCAGGCAGGACTGCTCTTTTGGCAGGGCTGTTCTTTCATCTGTTCTTCGCTGACGACACCTCCCTCCTCCGAGTTGGGTAAGCTTGCTAATCACCCATATGTGTGATGCACAGAGGCCGTGACAAAGAAAGGCAGGTTGCTTACCTGTAACTGATGTTCTTCGAGTGGCCATCTGTCCAGTCACACAACCCACCCACCGGCCCCACTCGGTGTCCATGAGTAGATACTGCTTTTCGGTACCGTACTGTAATTTGCATCGGTACCAGTGGTATATGCCAGTGAGTGGATATTGTTCTCGGTACCGTACTATAATTTGTATCGGTACCGTTGGGGTACAGTGCTGTCTGTCATTAATTTTCTTCTTAACATGTAGAGGGCGAACGTTCGGTCTTCAAGACTGAACAAAATGGTGGACGCTCTGCTCTATTTATGCCACGAAGGGGGAGGGGAGCGGAGTTTTCCCACCAAAAACCATTAGCTTTTTAATCTTCTGGCCTAGGCACTGTGCAGGCGCAGCACCCATATGTGTGACTGTACAGATGGCCACTCGAAGAACATCAATTACAGGTAAGCAACCTGCCTATCTTCCTGGGTTCATGTGCTCTCTCCACCACCTGGTTTAATTCCACCTCTGGCTTCCAGGCCTGGGAAATTATGCTTTGCTGTTTCTACATGCCTTCCAAATCAGAACTGGCTTGACCATGGTTTAGAATATTGGTTTGATGAGCAAACTGATTTGGATATAATATCCAAGTATAGTTTTTCCAAACAGAAAAGCAGCTAGAGTATTGGAGTGCATAAGGTACAGGCAGGCTTGAGGCTTGGGCCCAGTGGCCAAAGTAAGATTTGGACATTACATCTGAGTTAGTCATATCACTCTTTTCCGTAACTAGATGCTATGAGAGAGAAGAGAGGGATTTAACTTTGGCTTGCCACCATTTATGGCCATATCTATCTTTACTTTTCATAATGTTGCCATTAAAAGATTAGATATCCCAAAACAAAAGAGAGGAAAAAAATCTTTGTTATGACCAACTCATTTCAGAAAGGACTTTGCTTCCTCCAGAATTTTCTCCATATATGTCGCAAAGAGTCTTTTTGACGTTTCTTTTGTCTGTTCAAAAGACTGTCTGTGACAGGTTTGGAGAAAATCCCTGAGGAGGGAAAATCCTTTCCAAAATGTGTAATTTTTAAAAATCATGCACCTGAGACTTTTTTCTCGTCTATTTTTGGGCCATTTCTAAGTGAACTGATTCTCAAAGGAAAATGAAAAAATATGACAGAAGATTATTGCTAGTGGTAACCATCACATGCACCCTAATAAATAAGCAAAGGGAATACATCCATCTTCTGCTATGTTTTCTTTAATTGTAAGTATATATTCATTCCTGAGTCCCTCCAGAGTTAGAGATATTTCAAATGTTCCAGAAGACCTTCCTTCCCGACTTAAAAAGTCTGCTCATACTTCTGACTTTGATTAGTAAAAAACAGCTGGCAGAATTATTTAATAATATATTATCAATTATATTCATGTCCCCCTGTTCCCAGAAGCATTTTATGCCATACTAATGCTGAAGATACCTTAGCATTATTCAATGTGTCATTTCCATTCCTTCTTTAAGCACTCCAATCAGCCCTGCTATCATATGAATTTGTTTTCTTTTCCCCATATTAAGTTGGCATATAAACATTCACAATAAATTTGGGATAAACATATAGTCAATTACAGGGTTATTAGAGAAATCTAGATAGTTTCTAGGTGGTGCAGAACTTATGGAAATAGGTTTAATACAACAATGGTAACTCAGTCATCAGAAAGAATAGATTACTTCATTTTATAGAAGCCATTTTGTTATGCTGGTATGAGATTCAAAATTTATACATTGTTGATGGATTGAAAAAGTACTTATAAAATGTGACATTAAAATGAAGGTATGCTGTAGTTATTTGAAGAAATAGAAGAAATAGTTATTAGGATAATAAACCTACATGAAGGCCATCATAACAAAATGTTTTGTTAAATAATGTATGCATTTCTTTGGTGCAATTCTGGTCATTCCTCAGACTATCAGCAAAGTGGGAATATGTGCATGTGTGCTTTAGATTAGAAACTGTACAACTGAAGAGAGAGAGAAGAAGCTGTACAACTGAAATTTCTTTTTACCATAATAAAATCAGTGTCAATATTGGTATGTGTTTCTTGAAGCTGAGTATAAATGGTTTCGGTATCAGTATTGTTTCAGTATTAGAACCAGATTTAGGTTTATGGAGTAGGACTGGTAGAAGTAGTTTTCTTTTAACAGGAGGTTGTCCCTTTTGTCCTACAACTACAGTCAGCTTATTCAGCAACAACCTGCAAACTTTGTATAGAATTTTCAGAGGATTGGTTGTTATATGGAAGAGAGGGCAGAGAAGTCTGTTTATTCCAGCCCATTGTATTTGTCTACATCTGGTTCTAACCCAATGTCATGGTTTTATTCAGTATATATTTTTGTAGTATGGTATATGTATCTCATTCACTCTTCACATTTTTTTCTGTAGCACATTTAATTCTGTGTGTTTTCTTAGACTGAATTTAGAGGAGGAATTGGATCAGATGAAAGTACTTGCATCTAGGGATAAAGCCACGATACAAGAACTGAATATATGTCTGCAACAAGAAAGAGAAGGTAGGCTCAATCCAGCCATCAGCAAGTCATGTTTTGTGATAATTGTCACAAAACCCTGCACTAGATTTAGTCTTCTGCTTTTTTTTTTCCTGTCCCCTTAACACACAGCTTCTTAAGTTCACCCTTGTCTTCATGGTAGATTTACCTCTGGAGGGAGAGCAATAAGCAGAACTATCAGACATCACACCAAACCAGAGTTTACTCAGATGCAATTCTTACTATGGTTTCTTATTCCAGTTTGTCAGCCAAACACAAGTTTATCAGTTTACAGAACATGCCAAACCATAGTTAAGCTTCCCTGATTAATGATTGCCAGAATCTACTGATTGAACTAACAGTCCCTGAATTGTCAGAAGATCATGATGCTCTGTCTTTGGATGAAATGTAATAAGTTAAATGTTGTTTACTGAACAGGAGTCTAGGTAGCCTAACAACACTAAGAATAATGAAGAGCACATGCACATGTAATGGGATGGGATGAAGAAATGGACTATCAGTCCATAAGTATACAGATAATTTAAGGCAGTTGTGTCTTATTCTAGCAGCTTGTCAGTATTAGTTCTTCTTTGTGATCTCTGTGCATCACACATATGGGCTCCGCGTGCATGCAAGGAGCTGATTAGCTCTCCCATAAGCAGTGCATGAGCCTTTTCTTTTAAAAATGCAATTCTACCAAAGTTAAATAATAAATGCATTGAATCTTATGACTTGACTCCTGTTAATTCAGTGGAATTTAATTTAAAATAATTGTGCTTATGATATTCTTTTCATGCTGATTGCAAAGACAAAAACAGTATAAGGTTTATGATTCACAGCCATCACTTCAATGTGAGGGAAGCAGAATTACATTTGTAATTTCTTTTCTCTGTTTTTGCATGGTAATTTCTTTTCACATTTGACCTCTTCAAATTAATGAACAATCCATGTTCTTTTTGATGCACTTTGGCTTTCTGGTGGTTATTCCAAAATGAAATGCCCTATTTATTTAAATACAGGTAAACTAGTAGTTTACTTTCTCCCTTCAGCAACCATTGTTTTTATTAAACTGAACATCAAGAACTAGGGCAAATGAATTGCTCTTTTTCTTAGGTCTTGAAGCCACAGACAAAGCTAATATGTTAATGGATAGAAAAATGTAATGCTTGTAACTGTTTTAATGGGAACAACCAAAAATAAGGTTATAGCTTCTAAATGTGCAAGTGAATGCCTAGATATGTGACACAATGAATGACTGCAAATTAAAGAGTTTCTTTTAAAAACAAACAAACACCAAAGCAAGATTGATTGCCAGCTTCCCAGACATACATAATATGGACATGTCAGTTGTGGGCAGGGGAGGAAGCTGTATGATCTGTAAGTAGAAGTGAGGAGAGAAAAAAGAGGAAGTGACTGGTCCATTCATGTTCCATTTCATAGGAATCCCGAGAAGGGGAGAAAGATATAGGACAGAAGATACATGCTATAAGGATTTTTAAAAAACCTTCCTTGCTTGCATTACGCAGTCGTGTTTCAGAAGGGAAGGAAGGCACACATTTCCTTTTCAATTTTCAAGACCCTTTTCCAAACGTGATATGGCTACAAAAGGTTCTAGACTGGCAGGCAGCCTGTACCACCATACCTCTTCCTGCAGGACACAGTCTGCAACTTTTCAAAAGAACTTTGCAAAATTTTGCTTGGCAGCAGTTACTATTTTAACTGATCTGTCTTCCTTTCATTTGCTGCATTCTGAGTCCCTAATATTCTGGATCACGGAAAATGATTTACATCACCTTTGATTGTAAGATACGCAGCATCTTAGATACAGTAGTTGTGATTCATATATCTAATCATGTTATAAAATAAACATTGAATGCTTTGATCAATTTACTATTAAAAACTAAAAAAACCCTCAAAAGTAAATGTTGATATAAAAGCTGCCGTTGACATTCAAATGAGTGAATATTTAGAAAAAGATGAAAAGCATCTATGTATTACCATTGCATGTTACTTAAAGGAAGTAGAAAATGTATGCAGTACCACTGTGCTGAGGGACTATGCTTAGAATTAACATGGGAGCTAATAGATTAATATCAAGGTAAAGGTACATATTCCCCAGCTGCACAATTTTACTTTTTTCAGCTTCCATTATCTTTAGAGTAGTGCTCCATTTATTTCATGAATACAGAAGTTTTAATTGGCTATGACATGTTCCAAAGACAAAAGAAAGGTCTAATTCACTCTAACAAACTTGTTAGTCACTGTTTATGCCGAGAGGATTGTTAACCTACAGAGAGTAGCATGCTTTTCTTCTGCTTCTGCTTTGTTTGTGAATTGGAAGTTCTCAGCTGACCTGCCATGTCCACTTGTAGGTTTGAATGATGCTTCTAAAGCATACCTTTGCCCCATTTGGTACATATTGTTATGTAAAAAGAAAAGTCCTGTTTAATTTTTTGCAACATTTGAGCAGATTTGCTGTAATCCCTTTGCTTTATAGGAAATTGTTAATGTTCATTTTATAAGGAAAGCACAGCTGCATTCTGGTTCCAGTATATATGAGTGCATACATTCCTGTATACACCCCTTATTCTTGATTTCTGAATACTTGGTTCATGTACATTTGTGTGAACTGACTTCACTGAAAAGATGTGTTTCACTGTATTTCACTGACTTCAGTGTATTGCATTTGGTGGGGTTGGAAGAGATACAAAACGTCTATCAGACATGCAAGTTGTGATTTCACATTGAGGTCATCAAATGGTAAAGCTTCTTGTGTAAGAGGCTCCCCATGTAGTCTGGGCTATTTCCGGTGCTTAGTCACAAATAACATAAAAGGAGAGATATTAGGATAATTTGATAAAATGTATTGAGGCAGCTTCTCAGAAGTTGTTTACTACATCGAGCAGTGACTGTATTTTCAAGTTGTTGCCACTCTACATATTGCATATCTGAGGCTATATTGGTAGTTCTGGTAACATAACCCATTTTGAGATGCCACGCTTGAGCCTAGAGCAGAGAGGAGGAGGAAGGAACCTTGTAGTTACTAGGAAGTATGTAGATGCTCCTCAGAGTGGTGTATCAAATCATGGGTTAGCAGTTGTTTGTTGGAGTGACTAATTGCTATGAATCTCTTAACATTTCAGTAGAATGGCAGGTATGACTTATTCTGTAAAGTGCCTGACCTTTCACCTTACAAAAAAGTGAGTTTAAAGTTCTGTCCACCCTAATTCTGTTTCTGTTTGCTTTGTTCACCAATCACTCTGATCCTCCTGGCAGGGGATAAGACCTAGAGAACAAAACTGCTAGTGACTGTATAGATAAAAAGACCATGAATTCGCCTTTTATGACACAGAGGGAATAGTCTATCAAAGAATGAAGATCGGAATAAAAGTACAGCATCTTTAACCTGCAGATCTATTGTGCCTTTGAAAAGCTTATACTGGGAGAAAACATAGTGATGCTACAAGGATTCATAATCATATAGCATAAGACTTTGAAAAGAGGTCACCCATTTGAGACTGACCATTCAGCTGGACAAGAGAATAAACCACAGTATTCATAATTGGGAAATTAATGGATCTGTTTCCTTAAAAAGCCTTAGCATTGTTTTACTAGGATATTAGGTGTCACAATATATTATTTATTCCCTCTTCCAGAGCTGCTCTTTAGACTTGGTGAAGAGAATGGGGTCAAGAACAGTACGCCAAAGAAGAATGTGAAAGAAATATCAGCACAGACATTAGAGAAGGTACCCTAATCTGTAAGATATTGAGCCCAGCAAGTTAAATCTCAATTTCAGTGTAAGGGATCATATGTTAAAAGACAGAACTGATGAATGTAAGCCATGTGTTCTTTTTTTAATTACCCCCCATAATTCAAAATAACCCTAACTGCCAAAATTGTGTCAGAAATCAATGCTCATAGAAAATATATATGTGTCTCCTGTAGGATGAAAGGAAATGTAAAACTGTGTTTAAAGAGACAGTGAAGAGCAGGGAGACCAATCTAGAAATGCTCTCAATGTAAATAGAAGCATACCCTTGATTTTCACAGCTTTAGGTTTGTTTGTTTGTTTGTTTGTTTTGTGGTGGCTCAATTTATCACTGTATGGTATGACACATTAAACTTCTCCTCTCCTCTCCTCGCAAAACCAATAAATTTAAAACTGCATGCTTGCCTGTGTGTGTGTAACTGCATATTACAAAACATAAGAATGTATATTTAACAGTCACACTGGTCTGAGGTCTGTATGATGTGTTTAAGATGATGTCAGTGGTTCACTGATTCACAAAGGGGAGGGGGATACTGGCATACAGCAAATTCACCCAATAGTGTTCACTGAAGAATAAATGAATGAACGGACCAGAGACTTCCACGAATCCAAAGAATTCAACCCATGGTGTCTTTCCCTGATTCAGTGCCCTGGCCTTACTTTCTTTTAGTCAACCCCACCCACTGGCCACCCACTGGCAGTCAGATAATTCTGACCCATCTCTGTTGGGAGAGAGTGTGTTATTGACTCACTCCTAATGCAGAAATTCAATAGAATGGTCTGCTTGTTGAATTCTTGTTGCGGGTCACCACTCCAAAGCAGAAAACAGAAGTGAAATTCAACAAAGGTGATCATTCTTAATCTTGTACACCCTAAATGTATGTTTGAATGTGAATGTAAAGTGTTTCTAAGTTTTCAAGAACTGGGAAACCACAGCTTAACAGCCTTCATACTTAGACTGTACAATAACAAACTATGTGGATTAAAGATGAAAAGGTCCCGAAACAAAATAGGGGGCGGGGGGAACTACTTTCCTGTTTTTCCCAGGCCTTCATATCTCTAGAGCTGATATTTCCAGTTTGCTCAAGTAGTTTGTTAACAGCTGCTCACTTAAGAGGCTGGCTGTGTTTTGCCATATGTTTTGTTTGCTCCAAAGATATCCTTGAAGGAGTCTTTCTCCTTTTCTATCCCCAACAATATACTGAGCAACTTAAATGGAAGATTTAGAAGTACACTTAAACTGAGTAAGCAAGACCTTGTGTGACTTAATATCAGTATATTGTGTCCATTTATCTTATATTTGTGAATTAGCTTGTAGGAAGTACAGTAATTTACAGCAGATGATGTGATTGTGTATACTTCTAACACTTGCCATATGGTCAGGTAATGAATGCTGTCATCTCGTTATTACTGAATGACAAACATCATGTTAAAGTAATAACACAGAACAGGAAATGCTCACATTCATTTATCTTAAGGTAGAGAGAGTAATTGAAATAATTTGAGCGATACAGTAGAGGATGTCACACCTATCATCTGTGTTTCAGAGTAATTTTGTTTGCCAGGTACACTCTAATTTCTATCTCTAAGGGCATAAGGCGTTATCCTGAGACCTTAAGGTATAAACCTTGAAGGCATTCATTGTTTCCTTTCAACTACTGTAAATGATTTAGCCATCTACTAAATAAAGAAGAATCTCTTTTACAAAACTAAATGGCAGCAAGTATCTTACATGGGAGGGATTTATGGTCCGGGTTAATTTGAAGTAAATAACTTACAGAAGAGCCTCAGCACTGCCACAGGGAGTGTTAACCATAGTGTGTGTGTATTAACATTTGCAGTGAGGCAAACCATTGCTTAGTGGGAAGTAACTGTAGCTAAGAGTGATAATAATCCCATCCATTACAACCTCCCAACTATTTTCAGCAGTAGAATGTATTTGTTTGTGTTTGTTTATTTGAATGGTACTATTCTTATTGAAGTTGAGTGCAATGTCTCTTCTTTCAGCCTCTAAAGCCCCCAGAATTGTATGAATATACACCTTCTCTGTATATTTAACCCTTTGATTTTAATTGTTTTAAGGTAACAGCATAACTAGCAAATTTCAAATTAAAGAATTTATGAATTTTTGAGTGTTAATCCTTGAATGTGATTGAAAGTATTAAGTGTGTTTGGCGGAACAACATTATTGATTTTTATGCCCTTTATATGTTCAGACAGAAAAACCTCCTACAGCTAACGTGCTGGATGAGAGTTGTAGGACTGTTTATCTATCAGACATACATAAAATTGTGCCCTTACTGATAAGACTTGGATCCTTTCCCACAACCCAAAGTGAAGTGTTGATGTTTCAAAGAGTAACATGCCATGGATGAGCACTCACCTTGCTGGACTCATTGACCAAAGTGACAAGGAAATGTGTGGCAGTTGAATTGTCAACGGTTTTGTCTACTATGTGTACCCTTCCAATCCCAAGAAACACTGCTATAGTTAATACACTGAAGTGTTGCCCTGATTCTTCTTTAGATTTAAGTGCATAGAATCACATTGTATTTGTAAGCATCTCAAAATAAATGAAATCATAAATATTATTTATTGAGTACGTGTAGCTCAATCTAAATGAATGTTCAAAATATATTGCTTAATCTCTTACTACTTAGACTTCTGTGTCACTTTGTAGAGAATTTTAACTTCTTTTACCATCTGCCCTTTGTTTAACAGATGCATTATTGCAGTCCAGATGTATTCATGTACTCTACCTTTGAATTATTTTTCAATTAGGTACTTCAAATAGCTTTTGTCCTTGTATTAGATGTAATTTTATTTTCATAGAGTATATAGGATGTGAAGACATAATGGATAGATTGGCTGCTCTTGCAAAGGTTGAAAGTGAAATGTGTTTTCCACTATTATATTTAGGTTTCACAACTGGAAAGGAGGCTGAAGTGTTTTGAGACAGAATCCTGGAAGTTGAAGAAAGTTAATAAAGGGTTAACTAAGGATAATCGAGATCTGAAAGCATTGCTTAAACAGTGCAGTGATGACTTGGAGACCAAGAAGAAGGAGTTGGAGACATTACTGCAAAAGATCACAGAAATAAAGAAGGGCAAAGAAGCTCTTCAGTTAATGATAAATGGGCTGGAGAGAGAGATTAGCACTCTGAAGAGGCAAATGGCAGAAGTGAACTCACTGAGAAACGAAAATGAGGATCTGCTGAATCAAGTGAAGCAACTGCAGAGTTCGCTGGACAGAGCAAGGGTAGTGGGGTCTGTGGCCACAGAGGAAGCAACCTGTGGGCAATGTAGATGCAAGAGTGCAAGTGCCAAAGTTAAGTTGAAAAGAGGGAAGAAAAAGAGTCTGGTGAAACATCACCAGTCTCTACTCAGTCAGTCCATCAAGGTTATGAGTGGTGTATTTGAGAACATCAATAAGGACGGCTGGGAGGATATGAGTGAAAGCAGGTACGGCTCTCATTAACTTCACTCTGTAGAGGGGACACTATGCATATGTAAAGCACTAGCAAATAGAGATTGAATTTCAACTACTGTCGATTTGGTATTCAGAAAAAATACTGTCAGAGCCTTTGAAATACCTTGGGAGGTCTTGTTCTGAGTTTATTGACTGAAATTTGCATGCAAAATTAGCCACAACTGCATGAGTATTTGAATAGGTGCCAGGAAACCCAAAAGAAGGCAATGCTTGATTTCTTCCAGTGATGCTATTTTCATGCAGTCATGAGGCTTGAAATTGACAGTTTGGCAGGTTGATTTAATTTGCTGGCCCTTTGCATATTCACCACTGACAGCTAAGGATTCCCAGGCAAGCCTATGAAGTTGGTTTAGTTATCTTGTGACATGCCGACCCAGGAGGAGAAACATTTTCCCCCTTTAATTTAGCTAGATAAATTTTGAATGACCCATTTCAGTTTGCTACCAGATGTCTACAAGCTGTTTAACACCTTTAAATTAAGGACCATCCACACTAATTATTTCATGTATGTTTTATGTACAGTCATTGTACTAACTTTAATTGAATGATGGCTGAAAATTAGTTCAGTAAAGTGACTACACAAATGTGACTACAGTGTCTCTTTAGTGTAGTCACTGTAGTGTAGTGTAGTTACAGTGTAGTTACAGTGTAGTTACTGTAGTGACTACTGTAGCCACTACAGTAAAGTGACTACAGTGTGACTACACAAATGCAAAGTTCTCAGCAAACACTACCATCAAGATGGAAAGTGTGCCACTTTATCCATAGGCTGTAAGAGGCCCACAGGTGCAGAATTGTACAGCTTTCCACTTGGTTTCATTTTATTCATCTAATCGTAATACTAGTACAGATATTACTCAACTTTCAGACACTGCCCCCTGTGCAGTAGAACAATGTGCACGTTACCTGAATCATTCCAGGTTTCCTGAGAGAAAGTTGTTTATTCTGTAGGCAATTGTATAATATTAGTGAAATCTTTCTAATGTTATACAATGGACACTTTTGCATGTTATTTGAGTTGTGTAGAATTTTCATAGAATTATATCCACTGAACCTGTGCTCTTTCTCTCACACCTGTGGGATGCATGGTAAGCACAAAAGAAAACTAGCACTATCTAAAATAATCCTGGAAAAGAGCCAAAATACTTAGTTTAGGAATAGGACAGATCTTCAGAGATCCCTTCTGTGAGTTCCCCTGACTTCTCCTATTCTAGAAAGGAGCATTTTGGCTTGTTTCCAGTTGGTTTTTTTTTTTTTTTTTTTTTTGGAACTATTATTTAACATGTGGGTGCAATGGATACTGCTCATAAATTGAAAGTTATAAAAGTATATTTGAAAAATGTCTATACCAGGCAAATAAATGAATATATTATGTGAATCATTCATTGCAACTTGAATAGATTAAAATCTGCAAAGATAGCTTAGAAAAAATGTACTATAAACATTTTTTCTCAGTAATGTGGTTGCTACTTCTAAATAATCTGTTCAACTATGTGTATTGGGCAGAATCCCAGTAAATATATATGTGCATATTTAACTAGTTATTTAATTATTGTTAACCTGCTGGATTGTTTGATTTGATTTTTGTAAGCTTCCCTGAGATGCTTTTGCGTATGGGGCGGGGTATAAATATTTCAAATAAGTAAATCCAATTAATTTCCATTTGCCGGTTGTATATGTTTTTAGCACAACTTGGAAGGGGAAAATTTACAGAGATTCCCCTCCTTCCTACAATCTACTGTCCGCTGTAAAATAACATTGTGGCTATTTTCACACAACATGACAAAAAACCTTGTAGAATTGCCATTTTTTTACCATGATCCTATGTGACAGATGATCAAGTGGTTTCTACTTTATTGTGGTTTCTTTCCACCTGCTCAGTCTTCCCATTGTTGACATATATCCCATCTACCACTGTGCCTGAAATTCAGTCCCAAGGTGCATCACTCTCTGCCTGTGTTATCTGTCTCTTTTTCATTGGTCCACTCATAGAGGCTGAATGCTGGCTGGAAGGTTGGACTGGCTCTTGCAGTTGCCATTTTTCCAGAGAACTCTGTGGTAGTCATGTACCAGGACACCATGAACCTAGGTTCAAACAACCCTACAAGCTATGGTAACACAGACAAACCATAGGACTATATGGTAACCATAGACAAACCACAGAAGCAAACCATTACTTCTTACTGTGATTACTAAAGACCAAACTTAAAATGATGAAATATGATAACTGGGTTTAGACAACACAACAGACCAAGAATGGTTTTAAAAAACCCACCACGGCTTGTTGCCTTGTCTGAACACAGCCAGTTACTAATTAATCTTGGCTACACCAGCTACACTGATTGCTCTAGATGAGTACTTGATCATGTGTATGTGATTTGTTGTGTGGATATTCTAATGACAGTAGTGGCTTTTGGTCATATGAACATTTCTGAAAAAGTTTACCAATGCAAAGGTTGAACATCAGCACTGTCACAATTATTGTGAACACTGAAAGCTGCCTTTTACTGTGTTAGTCTATAGTCTGTCTGTCTAGTATCAGTCTACAGAACTGGCAAGCGCTCTCCAGAGTCTCAGATGGAAGTCAGCCCAGCCTTGGATATGTCAACTGCTATCCTTGGCAATGTCAGGGATTCATCATTTTGATTTAAAGCACGTGCTTTACCACTGAACTTCACCCTTCCTACTTATGGAATTGGAACCCCTTCCATGCTCATATTTACACTGAAAAATTGTGATTTGTTTATTGGGAAAAAACCTGTATTATAATACCCTATTGTCACTTCAATTTTACACAGAGATAAAGGATGGTGTTTAAGCTGTTCAGTTGCAACAAACTTTAGACCGTAATCTTTTAGCAGGGAACTACATGCAGCAAACCAACTTTCTACATTGTAAATAGTCCAGGATATATAGGAGGGCAAGCACCTGGTCAGCTATTGCGACCTGCTATTCCTTCTCTTTACAGGGCAGTAGATGGGAGGAGTATCCTGAGTATGAAGCCATATGATATGAAGTGAGGTGTGGTGCAACATCCATTAGTGGCTGACAGTGCTTGCTGTCAAACTGCCCTCATGCTCCAGTATCATTTCTGTGAATGCATAAGGGGGCAGTTTGTTTAGAGCATTATACCAGCTTCATAACAAAGCAAAATCATTGTAACATAGACATATTCATGTGAGACCTTCCTACAATGTTTGGTTCGGAGGAAGAAGTATTACTTCAAAGGAAAAGTGACTATGGTTATTTTGGGTTGATGAATCTGTAGCTCAGTGTTAGAGTACTTTGTAGGCAGAAGGCCCCAGGTCTATTCCTTGGTGTCTCAAGGCAGAGCTGGGAAAATCCTTGTCTGAAATCCTGGAAAGTACTGTTGCCAGTTAGTGTCAACAATATTGGGCTAGATGAATGAATTGTCTGACACATGAAGTATAGTGCAACTTCCCGTGTTTCTACTTCTATTTGCTATGGTTCTAGAAATTAATGGTTTGATCCTTGGACTTGTGTATGCATATTCCCCTTCTACAATGTAATGTGCAAATTGGTCCATATTGCACATTTCTATATCTTGAAAACACAGTTTGCAGAGTCATAGCAATCCCACATATGGACAAATGTGCTATGGCCTCATTGGGATGTTACATCCAATGCTTAGTATGGGAGAGGAAACACATAAGCTCAGAGTTCACTCCTGCTTTTACTGTGTTGAATTTTTGTATAGAAAAATAAATCTGCCAAACCTTACAAACATATTTCAGTTCTGCTATGTTGATGTTGCCACCAGCCTAAGCCTTACAGGTCCCTAGTCTCCTGTGCAGATTAATGGTGGATCAGAGTAGACTGCATCATTTTGCTAACCCAGTGCTCTCAGGATACGAAAAGCATTGGTCACATACAGATCAATTCACTTTTAAAAATCTGAGGGTAACTTGTCTTGCCAGCAGCACTGAAGGCTTTTAGATGTCAGATTAATTAAATGTCCTGAAAATGAACTGGGCATAGTTGTTTTTTCTTGTATGCCTTCATGTGTTTATGTAGAGATTCTTTCTAAATTTGAGGTGGTATGGGGGAAACAGTTATCCCATGAGGACAAGCAAAATCAAATCTGCCAGATTTACGGAGGATTCAGCAGGTTCTGTCTAGAACACTGCTGAAGCAGGCTATGTATGGCCTATACAGATATGCCAGAGAAAATGTGAGGGCTGAACTACATGTGCCTCTGTCTGGAATTAATGGCTTCTTAAATGTTTCCCAGTATACTTCTGCTCTCCAAGAGAAACAGAAGAATTACCCTATTCTGGATCTGTAGGTATAGTTACAGTGTGCAAGGGTCAAGTGATTAGTGGCCTACAGAGTCCTAGGCAAATAGCAGAACGGGTAAGAGCAGTAGTTACAATTTTTACCATTATTTCCTTTTTTCATTCACTTTGCTTGAGCAAGAAGTGTCTGTTAGACTCTAAAAGGGGTCAAATGAAAGGTAATACGATGATACTAGTTACTTTAAAAGAGTTATTTTTTTTCCTCTAAATTTCAGGTTATAGCTTGACTGTTTTGTGGCAGTTGTGCCAAATGTGCACTTAGTTTTTTGCAAATCATGTATAGCTGTTCCATTCATACCTTTATTGAATAGTTGGAGACTGTTAAACCCAAGACTAGTAAACCTTTTGTTCTTTCCAAATATGTTCTTCTTAGTGACTCTGAAATACCAGCTCCTGAAAACCTGGGGACCAAAACAGCAGAGCATATTGTACTGACAGACAAAAATGTTCAGTATGAACAAAACAAGATGGGAGATAATGGAATGCCTGCAAACACCATGCATTTAGAAGGGCAAATCAGACTGCGTCATAGAAAGGTAAAATTTGAGAGTGCATTTAATTGTGTGGACCCTTTTAAATCCCTGACAAATACTTCATGGTAATCATAGGCATTAAATTACAACTGGATGGTTTGTGGCTCCTTGTCTTCAGATGTCTAAAATCATGGAACAATCTGCGTTTCCAGATTGGCAAGTGTAGGGTGCAGTCCACAACTCGGCAGGAGTACCCTGGACTAGGTAAGGGTAGCTTGTCATCCCTGCCAGTTTCTGGTGTCTGAAAGTATTGCCCAGGGCCAGCCAAGCGGTTTCCTGATCGCGTGCTATATCTTTCTTTACCTTGCTCTGAACTGAGTTAATTGGGTGCACATATTCTGGCTGGGTGCACATATCCTCTTTCATACCCAAATCTAGTTATATTTCTTTTAGAAGCCACAGTGTGGAAGCTGTTCTGGTTAACCATTTCTGTGTAGTCGCTCATGACATGGGTCTGTGGGTTTTTGCTATGACTGCGTATTCTGTTTGTATTTGCATGTGGGCAACTGAGTGTGCATGATTTGTTTGTCATTTGATGCTGCTTTCCAAAGGAAGGATAGGCATACAATAAGTAAAGAAATAGTCAAGCACATCTCTTCTATTCTTTCCTTAATATTGCATACTGGCAGCAACCATGATTGAACTGAATGAGACATATATTGCCATTTCAGGTAGAAGACATGAGCTATAAGTTCCTCAGAAGTCTTAATGTTTCTCTATATCTTGCAGTATCTCTAAAGATCAAGTCCTATTTCCCCCACCCTAAAGGCACATAGGCCTCTGAGTTCAGTTGCTGCCACACTTCACATCCTGATTTTTATGTAGATAGCTGTTTTTGATGGGGGCAAAAAGGAGGCTAAGACACTGATAGGAATTAAGTCCTTGGCTTGAGACTCCTCCCTGGCTGGTCCCCAGCACACCCCTTTTTTACCCTCTAAGGCACATTTGTAACCTTGGGGAAGGCAGCCAGCATTGTTTGGTGGGAGGGTGGGGAGGAAGCTTAGCCTTCAGAGTCCCAGCTGCAAGACTACTGGACCTCAGAGCTGGGACTTCAAATAATGCTGTTGTGGTGGATGCTCTTTAGTGGTAGCTAAGTGAATGTTCCCAACGCTTGTGCTCCACAGAGCAGTCCTTTAGTCAGGGGCCTTTGGTCTACTCATGCTGCTATTGCTTTACTTAGCAGCAAGTTCACAATCTGCAGTCTTGGGTGGATGGAGTTCAAAACGACAGGAAGGAAGAGCTGTATTTTCCTCTTCAAGTGTCATACCTGCTCATTAGCCCCTTAACGCATGAGCTGAAAAGAATGTGTGACTCTTTAAAATATCCATTTACTTTATGTATGTTTGCACAGGCATTCAGTACATGTTTCTTTTTCTTCTTTCCTTCCTTCTATCTTTTCTTTATCTATAGCAAAACAATAGTGCAGACACAGCTCCATCCCAAAGGAATAAGACACCAAATTCAGCAACCATCCCTATTAAAGGTAAGAGTCTCATAAACTGTTCAACATAGCTGTTAAATGCACAATTGTATTTCCATTTGTTCATCCCTGATATCCGCATGGATTGATGTTCAACATGATCAAAACCAGGCAAATATTTATTTAGTAGATTATATCCCAATCTTTAGCTATAGTCCTCAAAGTGACTTGTACCTGCTGTATGTTTAGAAATGCTGTACCAGTGACTGTACAAGCAACCCCACTCCAGCAGGAGCAAACATCTAAGGTTCATTCCCATAGGACAGTTAGTATCTGCTGGCCCTGGAGCAAGAGTAGGGACAGTCCAGCTGGAACAGAAGTGTGCATCTGATATCTTTGCCTGTCTTCTTTCTGGAATTTTTAGCATAGGGTAGGTAGTTGCTTCTGTTTTCTTTCTCCTTCCTAATCCGTAGTCATTGCTTGGAGTCTGAAGCCAATTTTTGATGTTGATCATTATTGACTGATTGATATAAAGCATTTCTATACCACCTTTTTGGGAAAAAATGGCTGGTTTACCAAAACAAAATGAATAAAGAGATAGGGGGCCCTTGGAAAAAAAAAGCCTTGAAAATGTTAATAACTTTAAAGGTAGAGGAAAAAGACGATCTGGGATCAGCCATAGAGCCAACTGGGTGACTTTGGGCCAGAGACTCTCAACCCAACCTACCTCACTGGGTTGCAGATTTTAATTAATGAGTAGGTTCATGGCAAAACTGATGGTCTCGCTGTTAGCAGGGGTTTGAGTAGTAACAGCAACAGGCAGTACCGGGACCAGGATCCCTAAATGTGGGGTCTTGGTGTTATTCCTGCAGTTCAGAAACCCAAATCACCCTAATAAAAGCAAAAGGAAAACATGTGGACAACTGGACAACATTCTGGATTGAATCTGTATCCACTGAGTATGAAACATTTCCTCACAGATGAGGGATCAAGTTTTTGCTGGAAATGCACAATTTTTATATTTTTAAAGCTGTTCTTGGGAAGCCTTGCAGGTTTTCCTGCCTCCTTTAGAATTTTGTACATTCTCCAAATTATTTCCTGTGCCACTCCAGACTGTATTAACTTGTTCTGTTAGCTCAGGATAGGACAAAGAAATGTAGACCAGAAGACATGCCATTCTTAACAGACTGCCACTCTTTCTGGCATTGCTGTGTTTATGCCTCAACAGAAGATGGCAGGCTGTGTTGCACCTGTTTACTAACTTTTCGTTTGGACTTGACTAGGAGCTTCTTTGGATCTTACCATTGTTCAGACAGAACAAGGGACAAGTAAATGCCTGTTCAGTTGAGCCCTAGCTCTTAGAAGCCTTGGACTGTGTTGCAATCTTTTGATCTTCCTACCCGCCCTCCCAGTATTACCTTAAAAAACCCAGGCACACCCCTGTATATTCCAATCGTCATACAAATGGCCTTTTCCAGCAATAGTATGTTACTGGGTTGCTTCTTCTCTAATCCTGCCTGATAGAAGAAAGAATAGTACACAACTGAAGTATGGAGCGTGGTGAAGATCTTTATTTCCAGAACAAGTTCTTACCTGGGAGTCTGCAGGGAGGAGAAACACTTTCTCAGAAGTGGTTTGTCCTCCTGTTTTTTACATGTCTTCCTTTTATTCTGAGCCAAAAGGATAGGCAATTTTGGAACGGAATAAGTAATTTAGGAAGAATATCTCATAGTATTCTTCAGCATAATTTGATCTAAAACATATCACCTGGTCTACTTGATATCTTTTTCTCTGCTATGGTACCCATTGTGCTTTCAAATTTGCTATAAATTTTAAAATATGCCCTTTTAATTTTTTATAGAAGACTAGATAAAAGTAAGGTCTTGGTCTCACAGAATATGTTTTGTGCATCATTTTTGTCTGTGTATCATCACCAGTATTAGAATATACTTAATATTATATTGTATCAGCTGGAAAAAGAAGCGTGAGGTTGACTGGGTTGTCCAAGCAAGTGTCGAGAGTTAAGAGAGGATGCCTGTTTATTCAAATGCCAATGAAAGCTGTCAGATTAATTGCTGATCAATCTGACCAATGTTTAGTCAACAGAGAGAAGAAGAGAGGGATTGTGGTACAGAAACCTGGCTACTCCATCTCACTTTGGGGACGGATTACATCCTTACAGCAGCAGTTAGCTATTTCACAAAATTCCAAGAAGACTGTAATAGCATCTCTCAAAAAGTACAAAGAAGCAAATAAAAAATTAACATCTCAGCTGGATATGACCAAACAAAGACTCCAGGCCAGCAAGAAAACTGTTCAGGTAAAGGCTTATTGTAGGTTTGATATGCAAGCAACCTAAGTTTTCACTTAATTAATCACAGATTAGCTTGTCAATTCAAAGTAGGGTTGAATGTTCATTTGTTTTATCATCCTGAAACTGGGTGTGGACTATATTTCTGTCTATGAGTCTGTGAACTTGTGTTGTTCACTTATGAAGAAAACAATGGTCATTAGTGGTGCTGAATTTGAAGTTCCATTTAGCTACCATGGCTAATAACACAATACGAACACTAGCTGAGCTTTTTTTTCCCTCAAAAGTAAAATATGTAGTGGTTTGAATTGAGTGAGTTTGCACTTCTTATTAAGCCACTAAGAAGATAAGCCACTGTGGCTTAGTTGCTTGCTCAGTAACCCCCACTACTCCCCACAAGTGATCAGGTGCACTAAGGCTTGCTGTTCAGTATTTCCCCTTTCATCCTCCCTATGCTACTGCCACATATTCCATGTGCCTTTGGGATTGCTGACCCTTTCTTCCATGTCTGAACAGAAAATACATACAACATTCTGAGCCCTTATGAATGCAGTCTCATGTCTGTAAATTTTTAAAAAACCTTTCTCTTAGTCCAGTGTACTGAAGATGAAAATTGAAAGTGAAGCTCCAAACACTTTCTGTAGGCAAAGACACGACCCTTGCAACATGTCAATATAGAAGTGAGCAAAGTTTGTTCAGACAGACAATCTGCACAGGACAGAAGGTTTGACAAAACAAAACCAGTCTCTACATGAAACAAAGCATTAGTTTAAATTCATTTTTGATTCCATATACACAGTACAGATCCACTGATAAAGGAAAAATTGCATCCCTACTTCTTCAGAACAGATAGAACCAGTTTAAGGCAGATATTCCCCTCACTTAATGATCAGCCTGCTTATCTCATTACATAATGTTCCATATATGGGTATCATATCAAGTACTCTTCCCCCTATCAAAGGCATATGTGAGCATGTTTGTCAGTCACTCCTGCCAGCCCTGCAGGACTAAATGCTTCATGACATGTGTGCATAGGCCTCAGCCATAGGAATGAGCCAATCATGTGGTGTTTTACATATACCATAATACAGATGCTACAAGGTCAGCAAGCATGAGTGCACACTTCTCCATGCCTTTAGGTGTTGTCCAGACTGATCCATTCTTTTAACTTACATACATGCAATGACAAGTCAGTGCATGTTTACTATAGGACCATCAATTTCATCAGAAGTTTAGCAAAGTTCAGCTTTTGTACAAATAGGCAATAGAGATGCAGATATACACCCACGGGCAAGGATAGGTGCGTCTTTCTTTATAAATAATGTTATATATCCCCAGTATAGGGCCATCAGTTGTTGCAGCTGACCACATGTGCATGGCTAGAACTGGATTTAGGCCAAAGTTTTGAGGCAGACTTGTGCTGTTCTTCTTTATTTTCCTTCTTCTCTGTTGCCAGATGACCAGACTTTTTATAAGAAGTTTTTAAAGAAATCGCTGTATCAGATATGAAGGCATTAATTGCTAACCTTGTGAATAAGTAAAAGGTTGTACTATTAGACACAGGCCACACAAAAAGTGATGGTTTCCAAGCCAAAAAGAAACATATAAAATATTTGGAAGAAGTCAGGCAAAATGTCTGTATGAGTTATATGCCAATTCTGCTTTCTTTTTGGCATCCAATTTTAATTTTCTGCTTTAAACCAGTTATGCTTAAGGTGCTCTATTAGTGCTACCAAAGGGGAAATCTACATTTTAAGCGGAGACTTCAGCTACCTTCTGGTGAAAATTAAGGAGGTAAAATATCTCTACAGTCACTGCAGGGAACATATGTATTTTAGAGAAAGCATTGTGTTTCTGAAAGGCCAAATGCTGAGCATGAAACTGATCTAGTCATTAAATGTTAAGGTACTCAGTCCATGGACAACAGCAGATACCTTCATGTACTTCCATTCTTTTATGATGTAGTTTTATACTTACAGTTCTCCCTAGTAACAGTATGAAGAATGGAGATGATCTTTGGCATCTGTGGATTATAAAGGAGGATGAAGTAGAAATGAAAATAAAAAAAACCCCTGGAATGATCCAGGCAGATTTCAAATTGTTAATGTTAGTGGCTTTAGGAAGAGTGCTCATGACACAACTATACTTGCTTTTCTTTTGACACTTATCTGCATAATAATAACTTACTACTACAATGTTATTTATAAAGCTAATTTGTGACCCTTGCTTAAATGTGATATCACTGTTTAGCATTTGTAAATGTTAACATAATGTGCATAGACAAGATAACCCTGTTGACTGAAAGAAGCTGAAGAAAGAGGTCCATTAACTGACACAGACAGATGTTTGTGCAGTCAGTACTTTTATCCTAATCCCTATGGGCTCTCATAGTATAATATCAGATTTAGATGTAAGATTTAAATGTTCCAGATGTTCATTTTGAGACAGATTTTACAGTTCCTGCAATCTGAAGATTGATGAGTGTCTGTTGGTTTCCTGGATGGCTTAGTGATCTGTATTAATGCTACACATACATTGTACATGTACATGCATTGCATGTAGTAGCATGTTGGAGATTTAACCTTTTTTAACTATACAAGTTGTTCATAGAATTCTGTGTCCATATTGTGTTATCTGCAGTGAAAACCATATGACCAGTTTGGGGAGTTCTTTTGTTTGTGATTTTTTTTGTTCTCGTTTTGGGAAGCATTGCCATAGGTGACTGCATGTTTGAGTCTTCAGTTTCTGAGACGCATCATAAGCACTGAAGCACTAAAGCAAGGCCTTCTGTTTTTGAGTAAAGTAGTTTGGCTCTGCAATCAGTATATAGAAATCACAGCTGGAGTTGTTACTTAACATAGAAGTGATGGGATCTGATCTTTCAGGAGTTCCTTAGAAAAATGTCATAGAAGAATTATTGGCAAAATTCAAAGAAACCTTTTGGAAAGCTTGTTTTTTTCCTGCACCCCCTGTGTCTAATGACAGTGTTGAAATTTCCATCACCAGATGTCTGCTCAGATTAAGACATTCTCTGTTGTACATAGTAGAGTAATGACAATTATACATGGGTAAAATATAACATTTGCACAGCAAAAACACATAGAGACACAAGGGATGCAAGATTCAATGCAAAACTGCCATACTGTAATTTAAGTGAGTAATTAGTGCCTTTTAAATGTAGCGACCCAATTACAAAGCCCCCCCACTACAAAGTTACCCAAAATCCTTTGCTGTGGTTCCCATAGTGCTCCAGAAGTGGCACCACAGGAGTAATTGCATTGTTTTATGTGTTGCCTTTGACATCTGAAAAGGACTGAGTAGCTGAGCAAACCCTCTTCATCTGAAGATGCCAGGATTAAAAAAGGAACAGACTTGCAACCCACCAGGCAACTGTTTGGAACTCCTTTGGGTTGCAACACGCACAAAGGTTGCAAAACAGTTCTTCAGGAGCATTCTTCCAGATGTGTAACTGTTGTTTCTTTTTAAAGCCGCTGCTTGGAATGGCCATATTTCAACCTAAAGAATTCCTGCAGTAGCATTTTAAAACCACTGCAGGCATTTCTTGAACAGTTCCAGTGTTGTTAGCAATGTGTAAAAGAAAATCTTTGTTGCCTGATGCTTTTTGCACTTTACATTGAAAAGCTCCTTAGCATTCCGGAGTTTTGTAGGCTTAAATGAGCTAAGTTTTCTTTTAATGTGGCATATCTTTAAAAATATATTTTTATTTGTGTAATGGTCAGTTCTTTTAAAATAAAGTCAGAAAAATCTGTCATAATTTATATTACAGTCATTGCTTTTTTTCCCCTCGTTACCACTGTATTTCCTAGTCATTACTACTTTATATCACTCTCTGAGTTTCCTTTACATCAGGAATAAGGAATGTGTGGCCCATTGGATATTGTGGGACTTCAAGTCCCATCATCCTTCAGCCTTGTTTATGCTCATTAGAGCTGAGGGGAGTTGCAGTCCAACAACATTTGAAGTCCCATGTATTTTCTGTCCCTTACACACTAGGAAACCCCAATGTAAATGTAGGCCATGGGACTACTCATACAAGACCAGTCTTCATTTTCAGAGTCTGCAATAGGATTTAGGTGACTGCAGGCTAAACTTGCCTTTGGTCCCAGCTATGAGTTATCAGGGCAGGAAACAAGTTTTACTTCTGTCTGGGGACGGACTTTAGCTATGGTGGAGAAGGACTGTAGCTCAGAGGAGTGGGCCACAGCTCAGAGGCAGAACACATGCTTTTTGTACAAGGAATTTCAGTCCTTGGCACCTGCAGGTCAGAGAAAGAAAGAACTCTTCCCAAAACCCTGGGAAACCACTTCTGTTCAGTGTCAACAGTACCAATGGACCACTCGGCTTCCTTTGTTGGCATTCCTGATCTTTGGGGGTAGGGTGTAGAAGAATTTTTTTTGAACGATTGGCTGTGTGATCCGAAGTTGTTTTGCTTCCTGCAGAAGCATGTGCTCTGGCTACCGTGTGTAAAGCTAAGTCATATTCAGACATTTGCCCGCTCTGACTAAGGCACTGTGTGGTCCCGTTTGTGTGGATTGCTCTCTTCCGCGCTGATGACTGAATGTCCTTTGCTTTTATAAAAGGGGTTTGGACTAGGTGACCAAGGGCAGGGGTTCCATTTCCTCCCTATGATTCCTGTCAGTAATTGCTCCCATTCCATGACATATACAACTTTAAAGTAAAAGCTCAGGATACAGTGAGATTTTTTTTCTTCTCCTAGATTTGTGTTTCCACAATCAAACAAAATGCCTTTTATGTTCTACTGATGTCTAAAGCCGAATTGCTATTTAAAAGGTCTTCAATTATTAATGGACTTACATAGGCTGCATGTTGAAAATGTAGCCTATTCATAAATTAAAGCAGTTGCTTGGCATGAATCAGACCTGTCTGAGTGCTGATATCATATTCATTGTAATGCAAACTGAATGTTGATAGATGCTAGATGCTAAAAAGGTATTATGTGGCATGGAGAGTGAATTATCCTTGAAGAG